CAGCATTGATTTGAGTTGACAGAAGGCCGCCTCACACTCGTTGGACCAAACCCAAGGCACGTCCTTTCCAAGCAGGTGATTCAGTGGTGGTCGGACATCGTGCATGGAAGGCAGATAAACCGAGCAATAGCTGATTAGTCCCAAGAAGGAGCGCAATGAGGGAACATCTTTGGGAGTCGGCATTTGTGAATAGATCCTCTGGGGCTGGTAGAGGGTAGTGGTGTGATTCCAGAGCTGCATTTAGACCAGTGGAGAAGTCTGCGCTTATCTGGATTGAACCATTAGCCTTCTTTACCACAACGATTGGGGCCGTCCAGGCTGAGTATGAGACGGGGGATAGGACGCCTTCGTGTTCAAGACGTTCTAACTTAGCGTCAACCAGCGGTAATGATGCGTATGGGACCGGTCTTTTTGAACGGAAGACCAGTTTGGCGTCCAGCATAAGGCGAAAGGTGGTCTGTGTCGTAGAATAGTGTCCTAATCCAGGTTGAAAAACCGTGGTGAACTGGTTGATGATGTCCGCGGTATTTTCGCCAGGGGTTGTCGACAAGTGTAGGGCATTGCAGATGGAACTGATCGGGATATCGGCCAAACCCAATTGTTCGAACCAATCCAGGCCAAGTAGGTTCAGGTTTGTGTTGAGGACATAGCACATGCCTGGAAAGGTTGTTCCGCGGAAAGAAACACAGCATTGCATTTGGCCGCGGAAGCGAATTTCACCGCCGCAAGCCCTGACTACCATTTCAGAAGTGTTCCTGAGTGGAGGACTTCCGATGGAGCGCCATTGAGTTTCCGAGATGATGGTAACATCCGACGCGGTGGAAAATGCCTCGTTGCCATCCGACGTGGCCACTTAATGGGTCCGTGTCCGTCTTCGAGACGGTCCCGCTGTCACCATTTGCAGATTTTGAGCGAACTCGAGTGAAGGACAAAGTGGATGGCTTCAATGAAGACAGAGTACTGATGCATTTACTTCCCCCACTGTCGGTTGAACTCTTCTGCTCTAGTAGTGGTTTGTGTGTTGACTAGTTTACCCACACCCTGCTTTCCCCCTTACACCTAACCACATTGTCACTAGTTTCAGCCTTAATTACATCTACTCTGACACACTTCTTGGCGTTTGCTTACCCCGCTATCTGTTGAACTCTTCTGCTCTTTTCGTTATTTGTTCGTTGACTAGTTCACGCACACTTCATCGATAACCACATCAAGCATGCACCACTGTGTCCACATCCACAACACACCTTGGTTGAGGTATCTAGTAAACGGTTGTCTCTGGCATCTCCGGTCTTTTAATTGTCTTCTGGGTTATGCGAGTGGGGTGATTGGGCCAATTAACTGCACTCCTGCGGTGTGGTTCAAGACGGCATGACAGGGTCTTCAGTAGCTTAACTTGATCTAGCCTGAGTTCCCAAGGCAGTCAGCGTTATGTGTTGAGCGTTATGCGACCGTGACCGTAAAATCGTGTGGTGTGTTGGGGGGTAGGCTTGCTGAGTGATGCCGAAGCCAAGATGTGGCACACATTGTGTACTTGGAATATTCACTGATTGGCTGGTTTAGTGTGTCCTCTCAATAGATTCCAGTGCCGCTACTCAAAGTGAGGTAATTTCTGAGGTTACACAGTGGAAGGAAATGGTTATATTTGCGTGCTTCTTGGGTTGATCTCCGGTGATGGCATCGACTTTGACGAATTGCAAAGAAAAACACGACTGGACAGACCAAGGTAGTTATTTGCATGTCAATTATGTATGGATTAGTTATTTTGTTCATTCACAACAATGAAATTTGAGTAGTCGGCTCTTGAAAACACAATTTTCGTTGTGGGTCATTCAAATCACCTCCATCCAATGCTGAAAGGACGCCCTGAATAGGCATGCTCAGCGGCTGCGTAGGTATGTGAGTCATTCAAGATCTTTCACATCTTCAAATTGTCGGGGCTGTCTGGGATGTGACTGGACAATAAGGTCGGAATCACCACTTCTGAAACGCTTGTACCAATAATTACACATTTCATAAGACACAACGTTGGCACCAAGAGCACTGCAAATTAATTCTCGTGATTTCGAAGCCTTTTTTTCTCGCAGGAGTTCGCATAGAATGCACTGCCGAATGTGGTATTTCCCTGTTGCCATCGTAAACTCTGCTATTCTGGGAGGTTGTCACCGGTATGGACCTGCCGTTCAGCGTTCTGAAACCTAGAGTGCGTTCCTTTCAAAACCACGAATGAACGCTCGAGGAATGCTTCCGCAAACATGAAGTCAAGCACCTAATTCTTCCACATGGTACACCTTTGTCTCTGCAGTGTAATTCTACCATTGAGTTTTCGTCATCCTACAGCGATTTGTAAAAGCAATGCACTCAACTCATCATCATCACCATCACACTTGCTCCAACTTCAGCCTGAACCACTTCCATCTCCACCTCCAAATATCATTGTCCGCCTCTACGACCAACATCTGACGAAGCCTTTTAATTTGTGTGATGGGCAGAGGGTATGATCTAAATATCCAGCAGTAGTTAACCAGTTAGCTTGCAGTTGTCGTTTAGTCGGGTTAATTTAAGTTAGCTTTGTCACACAAATGTGAAAACCGTTTAAAACGCTTAAAACAGACTACGAATGATTGCCGTAAAAGTTATTTAGAGACAGCTCATTTCGAGAAAGGTTGAGACGTGTTACTGAGTCGCAGACAATAGTAAGCTAAACGTCAAGTGGTGAGCTGAATTGCCCGATTTCAACCCGTCCATGCGCAACAGACGTCAGGCGGTCGAGAGGATAGCTGACGCAGCCAGGATTGTCCAATTAATATCATGCTAACCGGATTGCGGCGACGGCCTCATTCGAGCGCATTTTGACAATGTCTTGATATAGAAACAAGACGCGAGTGTTCAAAATGTCAACCTGTCTTTGAAGTAAGAAGTAAAAGTCTTGCCGCAATACGGACACCCCGCGATTATCTCGGCCAATGACATGCCACCGGTCATCAGCTCAACCAATGAGAAAGCACGTAAGAGCAATATTTGGCACTTAGCCTCGTGGCTGATGGGCTCCCGATTTCCCAGACTAATGTCGTTTGAGACAATGGAGGAGAAAGCAGTGTTTGTAGGAACTGTCAATTTGAGAGCTGTAGATGTACTACAAACACAATGCCTGGAATACCGAGGTACGTGTGTGAGGTTAGGAGTGCGTAGGCTTTAAATTAATTACGTGCTTCCATGCCAACGCACAACCTCGATCGGGCCTCGTTCCCATTTGGTAAAGCTAAAAGTGCTGCTACGTCAATGCGCAGAGATGGCAAACAAATGAGGCACTTTAAATTACCCTAGAGAAAGGTCACTAAACAGAAGTGCTGTTGGTGCAATCAATGTTCCATTTTGGGTGGTGACAAAATGCAAATGGTACTCAAGGTAATTTCAACACTTCGACACACCCTTGACACACACACACACGGGTGGAACCGCACATATTGTAGTGACAAACCCTAATCACACGGAACTGATTTTGTACTTTTGCCTGATAATGCGGTAGATATTTGGTATTCATACCTAATCACGCTTTATGTGATATCAAAAGTCTTCGCAATTTGCTTTCGTTGTTATAGTTGGCAAAACAATTTCTGATTCCCAAACTGATTTCAAAATAGAGCGTATTAACGTTTACTAATGATCGACATCCTACTACAAAAGGGATGTGTACGTTCGATTTCCAGCTACGGCGTTGATCTGAACCCCTAGTGTTCCCACTGCAAGATGGTCAATACATTAAGCCTGGCTTTATAGTGCCATTTACAGGAATCCAAGGATTCTGTTTGGCAGGGTTTCATTTTGACAAAACACCATCTTCTTCAATTTGATCAGCGATTTTCGCTTCGAGAGCAAATCTCGCTTAGTAAACTACCTGACATAACAGTGCCAACATCGACACCGTTTATTCCATTGAACAATTCGCGTACAGATCACTCTCATCATGACAACTAGAATCCTATTTCAGGTTTCGATTAAACCTCGATTCGCAGCCACCGATTCACTGCATCCAGTAAATTACTAAAGGATATGACATAGTGGCTAGTAAGGATCACTGGCATGAACCAAGATCACATCAGACAACAATATCTAAATTTTTGAGGGGCACTTACTCCCAGGTAGTGTCTTTTGATAAATCAATAACTGATGCACGCGCAGATTGTCAGCTGTCACTAACGGAAGATACCGGCGCCTCAACAATGCCACACGACGCCAACGTAACCACAATTTCGTTAAGCAGAGCGCACTCGTGCCACAATCAACATTCAAACACTCGTGGTTGTTGTAATCAAGCATTCATTGCACATTGACTAATGACGAGTCATATTCAAATCTCTTCAGACGATTTCCAACCACCCGAATATCGGCTAGACGATCACCCTCAGCAAAAAACACACATGGTAAAGACCAAGTACCACAAACCCAAACCCAACGTCAGAACAATGGGCACATATCAGGCTTGATAAGCTAAACGGATTAAATGAGGCTTCCATTCGCTGAATTATTCTAATCATCAGGAACACTAAAGGTTTCTTCTCATTCGTTGCACCCACGCTGTTGGCAGTCCAGTCGATTTCCTAGCCACTCATGCAGATTGCCGACGGCCGTTTTGATGGGTACATTTAATTTGCAGCTACCATTGCAGATCTGAATCCAATAGGGTTTCTGCTGCACGATGGTCAAAAAATCAAGCCAGAAGTAATTGTGCTATCGTCAGAAGCACAAGGCTTCAGTTTGGCAAAAATTATATTGCAAAAACGCAACCTCGATTTTCGCAATCAGGGATTCCTGCTTGTTGAGCAAAACTCGGTAGTTAGTGGAATATCGAACTGAGCAGTACCAACATCGACGCCATTTAATCCGTAGAACAGCGTGGGTGCAATTCATTCCGTCGATACCAATCATGACAACCAAACCCCTATTTAACGTTTCATGTAGAACGAAATTTTCTCCGCACTGACAAAAACCACTGAAATACACCACCACCACCACCACCACACTCGAAAAGACCTTGCAGCATTCTCAAGGGACAGAAATTGCTTCCTCACATTCGCTGCACCCGAAAAGACTGCACCTGACTTTTTGACACATTAATAACTAGTACTCAAGCGGACTCGTGACTGCCACCCAGAGAAGCCACCCCACGTCGACGCAGCCACGATGTTGTTAAACACGGCTCACTCAAACATTCAAACACCTACTGATTAGTAACTCGCCCTGTCAAACCAAATTGCTTTAAACAATGTCCAACCTCCAGAATACCGGCCAAACGATCACCCCAACATAAAAAACACCCCTCACAACCTCAAACCCAACTTCCCCTACATATGGAAACTAGATCTATAAGATTTGCAAAAAATGAATTCTATTGTATTAAGCAAGTAGCTATAGGTTAAGGACAAAGACAATAAGTCAGCAAAGTAAAGCATGCAAAGCAAAAAACACAAATCACGCCTCTGAAACACCTAACTCAACTTCATGCATCACTCTCAGCACGATCTCCTCACACAACGGCTTGCCCACAACCTGCAACCCAATCGGGAGACCCTGTGTACCCTCCTGCAGACTCGACACTTCCGCGTTCAACCAATCACCATCTCGACGATACCGCTCCTCTGCGTTCTTTGACGCTTTGACGTCTGCCGCACTCACTTTGGCCACAGGAAGAACTCCAGCCGGATAGTCAAGGACGTTGTAGGGTAGGAGAAAATTTGATACTCCGGGCAATAGCATGTCGGGTGTGGTGTCAAGAGGCGCGGGAAACGGCGTCGCCGGACTAATTAAAACATCAATTTTTGCCTCTGACCAGGCCTTTGAGAATTCCACCTGATAATCGCTTACTTCACCCAGAAGATTCAAAACATCCTGCGCGCTCTGACAACCAATAGATGATCTAGTCGTGGTACCAATGAGTTTACTTATAAATCTGTAGTTAAACCATGCAATTAAACGACGAATAAAAACAGGCAATGAGAAAAAACGCAGAGTCTGACGGAACCTGGGATTTGTCGGATCGTCACGGGTCGCCTTAAGCAGAGAAGCACCGCCATCGGCTATCAAGGCTGTTGTAGATATGCGAATCAGTTTGTCGGGATCAGGAACGCTGAATTTCACCAACTTGTGACCTTTACTTCGCAGCAACGATATCACCTTGTGCATGGCTGCTTCCACAGCAACAACCGGCCTCACTGCCAGTTCTTCACCAATGCATGTATAGTAACCTATCACCAACGGCTCTGTTCCTGAATAAATTCTGTCGTTAAAAGGAAGCTCAGGCACCCGAGAATCAAGTTCGAACATGGCAGAACAAAGAATCGCCTTCATTGCATCAGCCAGGAGACTCGTGCATTTTGCCATTGGTCCAACTGTTGGCCGGACATTGGCAGATCCGACTTTAGCGACCGACCTCAGTCCAATTGTGCTTACGCGATACGAAGTCGGCCTTAGACCGCAAATCCCACAAAACGTCGCGGGAATACGAATACTTCCGCCAATATCTGTCCCAAACCCAAGTGGCGATCCACCTTTGGCAAGTAAAGTAGCTTCTCCACTCGAACTGCCACCTGCCAATCGCTTCACATCAAGCGGATTTCTTTGTTTACCGTATATTTCTGTGGACGCATCTAGAGACATTCCCGTGGGGCTCATAGTTGTAGTCACAAATGGCACAGCTCCCACCTTCCGAAGCACCTTCATCAACACACTGTCTTCCTTAGCCGGATCCAAAACGCCTGACACCAGGCCAATCGGCGAATCATAACCAGCAACCTGAATGTTCTCCTTCACACTGACGGGCATTCCGCGAATCGGTGATTGAACGTCTGCGGAAACTGACATTGCAACTGCTTCAGCTTCTTCAATGATCTCGCAGATGCAATTACTTTCCAACGCATCAACCATCCGTTTCTGGTATAAACGGAGAGCTTCAAGAGGTGTCATTTCATTGGCTTGAAGGCGTTGCTGCACCTGCAGAGCATCGAGTTCCTTGAAGTGCGAAAGAGGAGGACAGGTTCGGACACGATCCCGAAGACGCGATCGAGCTTCCTGCAACTGCTCCTGCTTCTTCTTTATACGACTCATAACACTTCTCTTCCGGACCATGCGGCGAATTAGCACAATTGTCAGGAAGGTGATAGAAGCGCTTCCAATGACCTTCCATTTGTCGACTTCTGTCAGGAAATTCCAAACATTATCAACCAGTTCCGTCATACTTGTCTCTACAATGAGGACATAGGATAAATAATTCCGCATGACTTAATGCAATTGAAACCTACGAGTTTTAAACGGAAAGTCAAGATTCCTATAAGATCGATAGAAGCCCTGTTTACTAAGCAAATAACACGTCTGCAGTACAATCCAGACAGGCGTAAAGTATGATAAGATCTTGCACTTTATTTTGTTGATGCATTTCTCCTCCACATTTTATATCGGTTAACCGCTGGTAGCAGCAAACTTCGACACGCACAACAGCAAACAGAACTGTTCCGTCATACTTGTCTCCAAAGTGTGTAGAAATCAGATAAGCACTTCCATACATTTTCGACTGTGATTATAAACCAATCCAAATAATCCCACTTGTTGTAATGTAATCAGTACAGGTAATGTGAATAAAGAATGATGACATTTATGCCTTAAATTCAAATGAACAATTTTTTTTGAAGTACTTTCAAATATCACGGTAAACAACAACGATATTCATTTTAAGATGTTGTTATCCGCAATGCAATCGACTATACTAGTTACTGAACATGTTTTTTATACAATATACACACACAATTTCTAACTGGCAACGGAAATTTAATCAAAACATAGAATAAGTAAATGCATTGCATCTACACAAGCCCATGCTAGTCTTTTACATGAACTAACATCCAAAATAAGGCTTTAGATTCGTTAAATAAATAAAAAGGTGAATAAAACAGACGCAAGCTTACCTTTTTCACGTTACTACAAACCTCGGTTTAGGAGAGCCCTGCACAAGCTAGCAAACCGGGAACAACAATCGAGTTGCCGGTTTTTAAAGTTGCACGACGTCCTTGAAACACCATAGGTAAATATCCATTTTAAAAAATCTTTAATTCGAAAAGTGAATAAGAATTTTGAATTCTAGTTAACGAGTTATAATATCTAGTTTTTTTGCGGGCCTGAGTTTATAATTATTTGGATGACACAAAAAGTTGATAAATGCCTCTGCATCGTTAAATCATTTGCATTAAATTATTATAAATGTGTGCGTTTAGAGATAAAATGCGTTGGCGGTGGGGACCCAAAATAACTTGCAAAAATTACAAAAAATATCTCGGTTGGGTTGGATCTGCAGCGCCTATCAAACTGGGACTTAAATAGAAAGTTTACTCTTCATACCTTAAGTGTGGCCACACCTTCCGTGTTATTCCCTAGTCTTGTGACAGAAAACAATTAGCGGAAAGGACCCTATTTATTTTATACCATGGTTCGCGATGGCAAAGTTGGCATATCATAAGGGCAAAGCTAGAGTTGGGACTAGGGGTGTGTAGGCGTAAAGGGATCTAGAATGATCTGCAGGTTCCTGGGGACCACATGAGGCGTGGTATTGAAGGCCCGGATAGGAAGGAAGGAAGTGAAGCTACTGAAGGATAAGGATGAGAGAAGATTGAGTGAGCTTACCGAATATCACATTGCAATTGTCTAGATCAAATCTAGTTTGCTTTCCTAATACCAATATTGTAGGGTACTGGTTTGATATTTACAAATAATACGCATCGATAATGCATATATTTTGCTAAATATTTTTAATCCAAAATAGGAAAGCATTTTTTACTTAGTGCAGCAGTTTCCTAGTTTTCTAATATCCAAACAACACTTAATTATCACGCCCAATTCGAACGAAACGCGCAATGTTAACGCAGTCTAAAGAACGTTTTGTTGATGTTATTACAATAATCTTCGATGTTTAACGAGAGTCCTGATCGAACCCACTTGTAAATTACAAAGAATGCCACCAGTTGAACTACCAAAAATATATGTCGTTGTGTAAAATGAATGATTTCAACACGAGGAAAGTCCTCTATACACAGCCTAAAAATGCCATTCTAGTCGCAGATATAAATTGATCAAAACTACTCCCACACAGAAAGAATGTCACCTGAGCACTTCATGTTCCTTTATGTCGTCACACAGC